TCCCTTGCAACTTATTAAAAACAAATAAACAAAGCTTTTATAGCTTTCCATGTCAGAGTGCATTACAACATATTAGTTGCACATTTCTATAATATTATATCATTCATTAAAACAATTGCTTATTGTTTTTTCAGTTGGTTTGTCTACAGTTTTTTTTTTTTTAACAGTTCTGCAGTGAGCATCTGTTTTAGTTATCTACTGCTGCTATAACAGAAATACCACAAGTGAGTGGTTTTAACAAACAGAAATTTATTTTCTCACAATTTAGGAGGCTGGAAGTCTGAATTCAGAGTTTTCTCTGTGTCGGCTCTGGGGGAAGGTCTGTGTTCCTGGTGATCTTCATGTGGTGTGGCATCTTATCTTCCCTCATCTCTGCTCACTTGCTTGTTTTTAATCTTTTATATCCCAAAGGAGATTGACTTTAAAAAGTCTCATTCACATAACTGTCTCATTCACATAATAAGTAAAAGCCATCCCCAAATGGGATTGTAACCACAGGTATAGGGATTAGGATTTACGACATGTATTTTGGGGGGACACAATTCAATCCATAACAGCATCCTTGTAAATATATGTTTGTACGCTTACACAAGTGTTTCCATCCCATAAAATGTCTTACCATTTTTTTCCTGCAGATGTTATGGAAGCAAGTTCACAATTACCCAATGTTTAACCTCCTTATGGAAATTGATTCCTATATGTTTGCATGTGTGAATCAAACTGCTGTATATGAGGAGCTTGAAGATGAAACTAGACGACTGTGTGATGTCAGACCTTTTCTTCCAGTTCTCAAATTAGTGACAAGAAGTTGTGACCCAGGGGAGAAATTAGACTCAAAAATTGGAGTCCTTATAGGAAAAGGTAATTGAAAAACTTCGTCATATGAATAATAGGAATTATTAGTATGTCTTATCATATGTATGAACTTGGTTGAAAGTTTATAGAGCAAATTCATTTTCTGTACAGCAGTTCACACACATTTTGTTTCATAACATTGACTGCAATTTCCCACAATGCAATAGCTCTCTTCCCACTTCCTTCCTGTAGTTACCTCTTCCCTGTGTCCTTCCCTCCTATGTACTTCACCTCCCAAGCTATCTCCCCGTGCAAACACTGCCCTTCTATTCTCCTACAATTCATTGCTCCAGAGAGCGTATCTACCTGATATAAACGTTCACTCCATGTCTTTTGTTTGGCTAGAAGCCTGGTATCTTTTTTTTTTTTTTTATGATTTTGAGTTTTGTTCCACATTGTTCTCCCCCTCTATACAGATCTGCACCAATCCCCTTCTGAGTGGTTGACAGTGGTAGCTGGACACAATCTAGTTCTTCTGGTCTCGTGGTCATATAGGCTGAGTATCACATGGCCTGCTAGTTCCTTGGACTAATCGTTTCCATGTGTCTTCAGTTTTCTTCATTCTTCTTTGCTCTGGATGAGGAGAGACCCATCGTTGCATCTAGATGGCCACTTGTAAGCTTTTAAGACCTTACCTGCTACTCACCAAAGTAGGGTGTAGAAGAATTTTTTGTGTGTAGCATGGTGTGCCAGTTGAGCTTGATGTCCCCTGCAACCATGGTCCTGAGCCCACAGGTCCAACTACTTGTTCCCTCAGGGTAGCTGGCTATGGCCAAGAAGCCACCAGAATCTTGTCCCTTAAAACATTACTTCTTCAAGTATGGTCGATGGACCAGTGCTGTTCTGTAAATTGTTTATCAGTCTGAGATAGGAACAGAATTTGAGAGTGAGGAGAGGGAACCCAGGCACGTCCAAAGCAGCAGGGCAAGAGAGAGGGAGAAAGGGGATTAAAAGGCCCAGGAACTGGGACAGAGGAGCAGTCAGCTGCCGGGATCCAGGTGAGGAGAGGGAACCTAGGCATGCCCAAAGCAGCAGGGCAGGAGACTGGGAAAAAGGGGATTAAAAGGCCCAGGAACCAGGACAGAGGAGCAGTCAG